ATAGTATTTGCTGGTACTATTACTGACTGTATTGTATGTCAAAAGTGACGCTGATTAAAGTCAGCACTGGGCTCATATCCTTCCAATCTCAACAAGAAGCTTAGTAGTACTGGTGCTAACAATGACGCTACCACTTGTAGGAGGCGACGCTGATTCTGAGTAAGTACATGTTTTGGGCCCTGAGCACAGCAGAGCCTGAATTGGTTGCCGCCCTCTCAACTCTATCCATCAGGCTGTAATCGTTTCTACTTGGTTCGGTCTACGATACTGCTGCTAGAAGTACGTGCCTATGCTAAAGTGATAATTCTAGTAATCATGCTTTACTAGGCCAGTAAATAGTATACTTTAGTACGGCCTGCGTGTGCTTTTTTTAGGAAGTTGCGCCCGGTATGCACTCCAAATCTGTATGAGGTAAAGTGAGTAGCATTTAGATAATAAAAGAGCGTTTGTAAATAATGCGCACGGCATATCATTGCCCTTATGTCGTGCAGTTTGCCATCTGTTGACTAACATTTTGACCGGACCCCCCGCAGCTGTGTCAAGCAGCGGCAGAATACCGGCGAAACACGTGTGTGGGCTTTTTAGCTAGTATCTAGGCTGTTAGTATGGTAAGTTAAAACATCAATATATACAGAATCTATTGGTAGCTCTGGACTTTACAGAAGCGTAAACCTTAAATTATATCATTTCCAGTAAGTACATGTTCGAAAAACGGAGCCCAACAGGGCTTTCCTTGGTTTTCGCCGACTCAGCTCTAGGCTAAAAGCTTAGAGTAGGCTTTTAGGACCAGACTACACTATCAAAGCTAAGCAGATCTAACTAAAAGACTTGACTGCGTAAACTAAGAAGTACATTTGTGTCTAAACTGAGTAATGAAGTTGCAGCCAGCTAGATTTTAAGGTAAGCTACATTACAATTATATGTAGCTAATAAAGCAAATTTACTGCTGCGGTTAGGAGAACTAGGCCATAATAAAAGAATTAAAAATAAAAGAAATTACGAGCGTTCTAGGCTTCATCCGGGCTGATTTGTAAGACACCCAACGAGAGTTCTCGTCCGCTAGGCAGGTACGACTGTCACCAATCAACTGGGTGGGTAAGTTGTGATTAAACTCACGGCTGTTTGTGGAGCCTTTGTAGCTCAGTTGGCTAGATCGTTGGCTGTACTAGGGCCTTTTCTTTGCTGCCGGGGGGTTTGAATCCCATGGAGACTACCGAGCTTTTCATAATTGGGTCAAAGGAATTATTCCAATCTATCAAAATCCTGCTACTACAACGCCTTAGTTTCGTCCTTGACCCGTAGGAACGCACATAAGGGACTGCCATTCGCAACTCCCTAAACGATTTGGTAGACTCTTTTCGTATCTAATCCTCTTCAGGGCTGGCGGCCATGCGAAATTTTCAACTAAGAAACACAAGCGGCAACATTCCCTGGGCAAAATGAAATTTTAAGTCCCGGTTTCTCCAGAAATGTGCAGATACCCTACTTCCCCACTCGAATCATCTCTCAGGTCCGAAAGGTTTTGTCCAAGCTTTTACCAGACATCCTCGCCGACTCTGGCCAAGGAAGACTACCTTGACTTTTGTTACCTTTCTGACTCTCGCCATTGCCAGGGTACTTCAGTAGCATCGGGCTATCCTCATGTCCAGTAAGGTGGTACGGCCCCAGCCAATCATTCTTTACCCTCTCCACGGTTGGGCCATAACTATCGATGTCAAAAGCCTATTTGCAAAAAGACTATGTTCTACACACGTTCCCCTCTTATGCTATCGAGTGTGCCAGCCACCTCAACCATCTGACGACGACCCCTTCCAAGTTACCTATCAGGACGCGAAGAACTTACGCATCTGATAGAGGAATAAGTTATCCGTGCGGACAGTCTCAAGGCTGCGCTTCTGGTCCGTGGTCTCCGCTCCTCCATTTAATGTTTTCTTCCCGCAGCAACATCCACCACAATTTTCACTGCGCACACGGTCAGTTCGAACTACATGAAATGGACGTCACACTCAATCAAAAAATCGCTCCGTTACCCAAACCTTCGAAGTATAAACTAACCATTTGTTTTTTTTCTCAACGCAGCGGTTATTTTGGTATCCTGCTTTTTGCCTCCATAAGCTCAAGTTCCCCTAGCCACAAGAACATACGCGGCCACCACCACTGATGAGGAATTTCATGGGGGCCTAATTACGGTTTTTATGCTGGTCGAGAATCGTTCAGCGATCGACTTTTGATGATAATTGCTTACGGCTTCCTACATAGACACTCGCCAGCTGATACTTCTTCGTTTGCATATGAATCAGGTTCTACGCTGCCCCAATAAACGTCTTCTTACATCCCTGCCATATGATTCGAGAAACCGCTATTTTTTTCGATTGTAACCGATAATATCGTGGCTAATAAAGATGTTGAACCTACTATTGTTTTTAGCAAACAAACAGACCCCAGTCAGAACCATGATAGATATTGCAGCGATGTAGAATACAAGGATCACCGGTACAGTTGGCAGGTAGAACTGATCACACATGTCCAAAACATTCAGATCATTCAAACCATTCGGACGAGCAAGCGACGACAGAAAGACCGTTGCAGTGCTGTATTGACTACCTACTGAATTTTTCAGATGATGGCTCAGTGCCACGATGTTATCGCTTTCGGGGAAATGAACAGGGGCTAAGTAGTAGTCCAGACAGGGGCAATGGTTTGCGAATGCCGGCCCCATCATAACTGCAGGTGATTGGTCGGGACTGAGCAAAGCCGATTACACTCTCTCTTGCGGGTCGAGTAGATATAGCCGGATGAGGTCCACATACTTCCATCGCCATCGCGGACAAAACCTTTGGTCTTAACCCCAGACGACAATGAGTCGGATGTCCTCATGCTTACGATCGCATTGGCTGGCAAAGATGCATGAGCTAAAAAATAACCGGCACCTGTTACAGTTGGTTCATATCGATGTTAGAACAATGCCTGCAATGAATGCCGCAACCACTAACATTTGCGTTAGTTTCCCATGATCTCAACCGTCGAAAGCACAAACACCTTGTCACCAAAAAAGCTCTTGGGCAGAACAGAATAGTGATTGGTGATTCATCTGTAAAATCTTCACACAAACAGACACACACATCAATACGTACGGGTGGGGCGGAAAAATACAAAGATATGCGTACCGTACAGTAGGTTACAGTAGCTGTAGTTATATGCGGTACCTAGTTCTGCGGAACGGGTAAGTAAAAGAAGTCAGGGCAACCACAATAACAGGACTTGTGAACGCAAAGGGCGAAATTCATTTGTCACATCCCAATAAATACTTCTTGCTGGATCAGTACGAATAGGCATCTAGAGGCGAAATGAGGACGGCATCGTGCGGAGGTGGGAGGAAAGGAAAGACGCGTGGTAGATCAAATGACTGTGGCCAGGGTGGGGGAATGATTGACTTGAGTAATTTATGACCATGGTCGGGGGAAGGGGAATTAGGTAAATTTGGAGAGCAGGTAATCAGCCAAACCAAGAAGGAGAGGTAGGAGGATGAGGAGGAAGAGGAAGGAGATGGTCGGCGCCCATGAGTTTCGGCCATCGCGACTGAGGCCGTTAGAGATAGCAGCGATCTGACGCAGCGAGGGTCCTGGATGCCAGCGCAGAACACGGTCAGCACTCGCACTGACGAGTTCGTAGTGCGGTACAGCTGCCCGCCCGGTGGAGTAAGTGGGCTCATCAGCTCTCAGGGAGGCTTCCCGCGGTGGTAGGAAGGTTAGGCTTGTCACAAAGATGGGGTGAGCAGTGGGCATGCTGTAGACCTTAACCAGGCTCTGGTTCCTCAGGGAAACCCTGCATTTAAGTAAGTGTGCAGAAAATGAATCATTATAAAACGTATCCCAAAGAAATGTTTAGCAAAAAAGACGATCACAAACAGCCGTGCCCCGGAGAGTAACGATAAACAGTAAACCGCAATGTTTTGCCCACAAAACATTTTAAAATGCAATCAATTTTTCGGAACAAATATGATGGACCAGAAAACACAATGGAAGCTAATATGATTCCGATAGTAAGAGTGTGAAGTGCCGATAATTCCGCTTTTAGTTAAAATCAATAGCCGATATTTCTTAAAACACGACATTTGAGGATGCAATTTTTCACCAAATGAGTACAAGAAAGAATATCTGTGGGAAACTTTTCCATAATATAAATTTGACGTTACAGAGATATAGGAAACATATTGGAAAAACGCATACTACTTAAGTAGTCGCTCTGTGCGGAGTGTACTTTTAGCGGTCAACCGAAGATAAGCTCACTAAAAACTGGCATCCCGACGTGACTAAGATACCAGGAGATTATGTTGCATGATACTTGGCCTTACTACAGCTCGATTATGCCTGATCTAGCCGGCCTCAATGATGTCACGAACGGTACCCCTCTACGCGTGACGATTAACGGCAGCGGATCCGGAGAGCTCCACCCAGTCTCTTCT